AACGGCTATCTTTGTTAGCCATCCCCAATTTAGAGGTGATAAACTAGAAGGAAAGCAGCTAGTCAACGGCTATCTTTGTTAGCCATCCCCAATTTAGAGGTGATAAACTAGAAGGAAAGCAGCTAGTCAACGGCTATCTTTGTTAGCCATCCCCAATTTAGAGGTGATAAACTAGAAGGAAAGCAGCTAGTCAATCGGCTATCTTGTTAGCCATCCCCAATTTAGAGGTGATAAACTAGAAGGAAAGCAGCTAGTCAACGGCTATCTTGGTTAGCCATCCCTAATTTAGAGGTGATAAACTAGAAGGAAAGCAGCTGGTCAACACCACCCACCTCAAACTCTTGGGATACTCTGATGGAACAGTGAGATTGACTGTCAAGCTATGACACCACCACAGCTGAAATGGAGAGCATGTTCGTTAATGGGATTCAAACCCACAATTTGCAGATTGCAAGTCAAACAACCTAACTACCAGGCCATGATAGGTGCAAGTCAAACAACCTAACTACCAGGCCATGATAGGTGCAAGTCAAACAACCTAACTACCAGGCCATGATAGGTGCAAGTCAAACAACCTAACTACCAGATCATGCTAGGTGCAAGTCAAACAACCTAACTACAAGGCCATGATAGGTCCAAAAGTTTTGAAACTAAAGCAGAAAGAATAAAAGATCTAAGCACATTTCATTAATCTCAAAAGATGTTTATTGATAAAGCATATATAACCAAATATTCTGATAGGAAAATCCCTAAATAAAGATTTGGTAAATTAATAAACAAAAATACAAGACAGAAAACAATATACAATATCACACAGTTTTATATTTAAACACCAGGAAGAAAAACAATAGAATATAGCAACTGAACTTTTCTGGGGATAACATAAACTTGTTTGAAAGCAAAGCAAAATATTATGTCTAGTTCATTGAAACTTGCAGATTAAAGACCTTGTCAAAAAAATTACAATGATGCAGCTAGCAACAAAGAATGCATAAAAATGGAAGTAAAAAAATAAACGAAGCAGATAAATAAACATGAAAATATACTTTTTTTGTAAATGCTTATTAAACAATTACCCGATACTTGTGATTCAGCATCTTCATCTATTTCTTCGTCATCTGATTTTTCTCCGTCATCGTCTTCATCACTAGCAGAAACTGATTCTTCTTCTTCTTCTGCAATATCACTATCACTTGCATCACCTTCCACTTGTTCCTGCTCTGCATCACTGGCAGATTCAAGGTAGTCCTCATCCTTTTGCTTTATGGAGTGACTACAAACAAAGAAAGTTCAAAATTCCTATATCTTATTAATAAATATTTACAATAGTTTTAGTTGTTTGCGAAACACAATTTGTTGAAAACAAAAAGATGCTCTGTATTTTATTTCTCTTGATATCTTAAGTTTATAAAATACAATTGGTCTTATTTTAGAAATAATCTCAGTAGTTTTAATTTGGTGGATTTCATCTCGAAGTTTCTACCTTTTGTTACCAGAAGAGCTGAATTTTTTCCGAAAATCTGCAATGCCTTCATTATCACTACTAATATTACTGTCTTCGTCGTCTTCTTCTGAACTTCCTTCTGAAAAATAACAGTCTATATATTTAAAACTGAAACATTTTAATATGTATATGAATTATTTTTTCCAGCTATACCATACATATCACTTTGTACAAAACAAAAACAGCTTCTATACAAAAATACATGCATGAGCACATTGCATAAAGCAATTCACAATCAGTGAATTTGACTTTGTTATCACAACGTACAATGTTTTTTTACATTCCATATTTTATAATTGTGTATTCAACTATGTATGTCACACGAGCAGGTAAATCAATATGTCAACAAATATCACAAATTTTATATATTAAATAGCAGTTACATACTGTTTATAACTGAATATTACAATTGTGATCCATGTATAATAAATCACATACAGACATACATATATATATGAGCATACAAAATTGCACATTATGAGTGATACATGTGTGCATAATTAGTGTTCCATTATCTTCTATATACCTTAAGTCAAAGTTGATAAGAGCTCAGAGTAACGAAAAGTTCAAAGTATGAAAAATTTATTGTAAGTGTTAAAGTTTATAAAGGAATTTAACTGTTTTAAATTAGGATGTTGGTACCTAACTAAAATCACAAAAAATCTATCCAGTAATTTAAATGTTTTAAGTTTGGATGTTAATACCTAACTAAAATCACAAAAATATCTATCCAGTAATTTAAATGTTTTAAGTTTGGATGTTAATTTTAAATTTGGATGTTAATACCTAACTAAAATCACAAAAATATCTATCCAGTAATTTAAATGTTTTAAATTTGGATGTTAATACCTAACTAAAATCACAAAAAATCTATCCAGTAATTTAAATGTTTTAAATTTAAATGTTAATACCTAACTAAAATCACATAAAAAAAACAATTTTATGTAACTAAACAAGTGTTTATGGCTCGTTTAAAACAAAAATTTTACAACTGTTTAAAATAATCACTTCAGTGATATAGTAACAAAAATAATATCTAAAAACCAATCAATTACTGTATTACCAGATTCATCAAATGCTGTACTCCCTTCAAGCAGATTTTTCCTTGAAATCTTCCTTCCACTATATCGTGTATCAAGGTCTTCTAGAAGAGGAGCAACTTTTCTTCGAAGCTCACTTCTTCCAATTTCACCACCTACAGTTTCCTCAACATAATTTTCAACCTGAGCTCTAGTTTCTACAAATAAAAAAAATATGAGAGTAAGAAAAGGTTTTCTTATAATTATAGTAAAATATAATACATGAAAATTAATAAAACAAATGAAACATTAAAAAGCAAGATATCTCCCCCTACAATCACAGAAAACCAGTCACATTGAGTTACTAAGCAGCATGTCTGTATCCAGGAATCCAAAGTTTAAGCCTAAGTACAACTTTTATCTTCTTTGTCCATTCAACCATAAGAAGTCTGTCTAAACCTCTGAACAATACTTGAAATCTGAAATAAGTCACAATTAAATTTTAATGTTACTTAGTAACGATAAACATAAAGAATACAAACCATTGACTAGTTCTTTCACAAGTTCTACATATTAAACACAGACAAGAAGTGTTAAGCATACATCAAATGTCTGATAATATGAACAGATTCTGTCCAACTTGATATCTCACATTAACAAAAAAACGATGATTATTAATCTGCTTAAAAAGAAATCTTTCATCATTTGACTAAAGCTTTTCATAGATTTTCTCTTCAATGAAGAATAACTGAGTATAGGCTTAACATGCTTTAACATCGATCCATAGGAATTCTGATAAAATAATAACTACGTTAACAAAAAACACAACTGTATTTTTTTTCAAATCAGAGTGAAATAAGATGGCATGTAATAATAAACAGAACAAGGAGAAGTTTTATGAAATGACTGACAAAATTTTTTAAAATATTTTATACATTTTCAGAAAATACTTTTCATTTTGGAATATGGACGACAATATCTAGATTTGACTTTTATAATATATACATAAATTTATAACAGTATTAAAGAGTTGAAATAATTCTATCGTGTAAGGAAACAATATCACTTGCCAATTCAGGTTTAGAAGTGTACTATCATGATCATTCAAGTCCCAATAATAAGTCACTTTTCTATGTATTCACAATCAAAAATAGTTATAGGTATAGCTCTAGAAAAGTCAATACAAAAAGGAAAATCATCAATTTCCAAATTTTTGCTTTACTAAAGTTATATGAATTATGAATACAAGCAAAGATTTTTTTAAGAAGTGCCCATGCCATTGCAATGGTCACTTCTATGTAAGCTCGCACAGTGACCATGTTAATAGCCTCAACTATTACTTTATCATAGCCATTTTCTGTCACCAGTTATTTTGTTACATCTGCTTTCAGAACAATTTACTGATCAGTCTACAAAAACATACATTTCTAAATTTTATTTAAAACACAGATACACACAAACTGTTCATGTCATTTTGAAAATTACCAGATTCATTAGTTTGTTTTCATTACATACTTATTGGCATCTTCAGCTGCTAAGAATTTCAAGTAAACAAACTTCAACTTCTCATGGATATAATTTCTATCAAAGGATAGTGCGTGATTATCCAACTGAGATGAGTATAAAATTAGGGTTACAGGCATTCTTCACATATACACTATACACGTTAAGCTAAACTAGGGTTACAGGCATTCTTCACATATACACTATACACGTTAAGCTAAACTAGGGTTACAGGCATTCTTCACATATACACTATACACGTTAAGCTAAACTAGGGTTACAGGCATTCTTCACATATACACTATACACGTTAAGCTAAACTAGGGTTACAGGCATTCTTCACATATACACTATACACGTTAAGTTATACCAGTGCAGCAACCGTACAATATCAAGAAAAACTATGTCTGCAGACACATCTCCTCCTAAACAAGTTCACCAATCCAGACTGAGCTTGTCATGCTAATTTAGTAGTCCAAAAACAAACCAAATTTGTTTCAAACTTTCTCATATATTGAAAAACAAAAATATTTTATAGAATAACCCCTACATCATTACTGCACAAGCTATTATAAATTGCTGAATTTGAACAAAACTCACCCCAAAACAAAATTCTACAAATCATATCCTGTAAATGAAATTTTCAGCATTTTTCCTTGTTTCCCATTATAACCAAAATATACAGTAATAAAATATCCAGCTACAACATGGAGAATAAAGATGTTGTTGCTGTTTAGGTTTCCTGCTCTTTTTGAATTCATACCATTTAACTTCCACTTTATATTAGGGTTAGAATAAGTGCTTAAGCTTGAATTAAAGAAGTACTTCATAATCAAAATACTTTTAGGATATTTCTTACTTCTTGATATAGAATACAGTTTTCTGTAGAAGCAAAATTCAAGATTATTATTAAATTAATGCATTACATGTTCCAAAATTCAGACAGTAGAAATCTTGACCACATCTCTTACTGTGAAATGGATTACTTTGAACAATTGATAGAATTGCTTTGCCATTTCTGCCTCGTCATTTCCAAACCACTTCCCGTCTTACAACTATTTTTTTTTTTTGCAGAATCAATATTACTGAAAATCCTTACAGAGATTTTGCCCATTTTTTAACAAATTTTTGCACGTTTTCCATGTTTTCAAGAGAAAAAAGATGGAGAGGTGCAGTCTCCTTAAAATAACCTACAAAGCTTTTAAGATAAGACTTTTAAAGTGCATTACAAGAGCTTCAAAAAGAAGAACAATTACGGACTGTGAGTTTATTTTTACTTGTAGACTTTCACCGGATCTATTGGGCTTTCACCAAGTTGTACATCTACTTAACTTACATGTTATATATTGCTTAAGCAGTTAACGTCACAGCTTGAATTGTGTACATTGCATCAACCAGGTCAGGCCACTGTTATGAAATTAAGCTTCACAAACATTCTTTGAATAATGAGTAATGCCTGATACAAAAGTACATTGTGACAGTGACACAATGAAATGCAGAGTGATAGGCCTACGAGTATAACTTCTAAGCATGAATTTATTGACAATGATTACCAATACCATGTTAGGGTCATAACTATCTGTTACGGTCACTATAATTGATAAATCAAACACAGATACGAGTCCCAGCTGTGACTGGTAAAGACCTATAGTTGATACAACTACAAAACTGTCCCATACATGTGAACCATCTTTCTACCAATTCTTTCTATCCAAGAACTCAAGTTCATCCTTGGATTATGTGTTTTTCTAGAAATAAATGTACCTAGTTAAGGTACTCTAGTATAAAAACATTCTTTGTATCAAAATACAAATCTTTCGTTCTGTTGCTATTTAGCACACTCAAATTCCTTATATACTTTTCTGCTTCAACATCATTTTAACATAAACGTTTCTTATTAATATCTACAGAGTTTCCATTTTGACCCTACATGACTATGTGATAAATCTTTAAAAGCATTTCTTAATGTGGTAAGTCATTTCTTTGAGACAATTTCCATACAGAGTCACCTACTTTTGTGAGTAGAATTCTCTGGGAATTTTATTATTACTTCCAATACTCAAATTGGAAATTATAATTTTTTTACCATAAAAACTAAAAAATATCACATACAAAGCACATTCTATGCTTGTTTGACCTATTTAAATTAAATACAACATTGGATTGTCTATAGAGATTAGAGTATAGGTAATTTATTGGTATCATACTTCTTTCAATAGGTCAAATAAAAGACTTGTCCTTGTCTGTTAATTAACCAGTCTCAACATTTCTCATCATTGATTACTATGGAACTAGTAAAATACCATGTTTCCGATGAAGTTATCATTGTCTTTAAATAGAGAAATTTAATAATCACATGATAAAACCCCTATATAACATTTGTTAATGTTTTTCCTCATAGAATAAGGTTTTGAATTTTATGGTTATTTCTGTTTTAACAAGCCCCTCACAAGCCAGTGGGGGACATTTTTGTTGAAAAAAACTACCCAATTCAGTTTTCCTTAATTTGAGCTGAAATTTTTTAGACATGTTTATTTGCTAAAAAGAAGGCATTTCTAACACTCTTTTAGCTTTGGAGCTGCAAAGCGATTTGAAGTGGTAAGGTGAATGAAATCCGTCAGCACATCATGAGCTTAATGGCCAAGCACAAGAAGCATGGAAGTCTCCAAATGACACGCAGAAGTATTAAGTAACTGTTTAGAACCATCTTGGTAGATAATGTGCAGCAAACCAAATACAACATTATGCCTGTAGATGCTTTCAAAGTGTTCCCGTCTGCTCATCCTACTGCTGACTATTGTGATGCTTTGACCTTTCCCTGAATCACAGGTGAAATCATTCAAATGTCAATTGAAATATAAACATAAAATGGTGATAGCAGAAGCATAAAAGATTGGCAATTGCTTAATTAATGATACTGAGAATGTGGCTTTATTGATATATACTGAATTTACTCCCAGCGGGTAGACCCAAGTACTATCTAGTATGGAGACTTGAGGAAGCTGTATTTCATTTAAAAATTTATCAATTAACAAATGAAACTTGTCTCGAAGTTGTCTCAGAAAGATACCTCCAAAAAACCACTCTCTCTGGGAGTTTCCGAATTGAACTTAGATTTAATATTAAACAAATTGTAGTGCAAAGACACCCCTTGGCTCCTGAGAGATGTGTTAAGTATTTATTTATTTAAAAACAAAAAGATGCTTGACGATTTCCTTTTAAATTTAACTTTTAAGTACTACTCAGTTTAATATACTACTGCTACTAGACTTCTTGTCTTGATTTGATTGGCCGAAAAGGTAAGAGTTTCGGGTTTTGAATATAATACACCTCTGGTTCGAAAGACAAAGATATTTTCAAAGTTCCTAGTTTCAACTTGCCTCAATACAGGTTTGAATAAGTTCATTTTTATTGTTAATATTATGTACCTAACCAAGTTCAAAAAGTTACTACATTTTTATTTTAAAGTAAAACTCAAAGTATAAAATGTACTTAATGATAATCATCTAAGTCATAGCATAAGTTTCAACTAATCGTCAAGTAACTGGAGTACAAACCTGTATTAATATCGTCTTCAGGGTCCGCAAAAGCTGGTGCAGGATTAGCTAAATCCGCTAGTCGTTCTTGAAGCGTGGCCATGTTTGTGCTTTTAGAGCCATCTGGCATAATTATGCTTAACAGTTTTTTTTTGTTTGTTTTTTTTTTACCCCATGTATAAAGATTCGGATTGTTAAGAATATTATGAGTTTTAATAATAAAAAATAATAGAAAATTAAATTATAACGGACTAAGCAAACGCTCTACAATCAGGGTCAAACAAAAACAAGTTATTAAATATAACAACAGAAATACAGAAAAAACTTTCGAATAGTACCTGGTCAGGAAGGACTAGGTATAAACGTTAATTAATAAACAATGCAATATAAATTTCAATGTGAGTAATTTTGATAAATATAAAAGGAATTAGGAAAAGAAGGAGAATAAAGAAAACTAATTCCCCAGAGAATAACACAGAATTCCAAAATTAACCACTTATCAATGTCAAGAACAATATGGAGCAATAATTATTTATAATCATATATATCGTGAATTAACTCCTTTTTAGCTCAAGGAAAGCTTTTTATTTAGTGGTTAGACCAGAAGGTTACATTTCATGTGACTAACTATTATTATAAATCTACGTAATCTTTCACAACTTTAATATCTGTACGTCACCGCCAGGTTAAGCTTGTGTCAGCTTCATAATATATACATACTCGAAATCAACGTGCTCTAGCTAGAAGGTAGGTTAGCGCTTTAGTATAACTAAAAATTCATACTTGAACTAAACAATAGAAGGAATAGTAAATGAACAGTAAACAAAATCATAACAAAATAAAAGTACAGTTCTCTATCTCACAAAATTTTACGTATGTATTCATTAAAAAATTAAAAAGTACAGAAGTTATTCCACAGTGGTTTTTGCCGTTTATTTGTTTGTTTTTAATTATGCACAAAACTACACAAGGGCTATCTGTGCTCTTTGCCGTTTGAAGTTGAAAGTTTCGAAAATACGTGACAAAAATAATTTAGACATGACAGAAATTAATCAATCGTGATAATCCTGAAGAGACTTGTTGCTTGAACGTTTAGAAAACACTTGGAGAAAAATGTATAGACATATAACTAGACAAAATAGCAAGTATTAAGAAAAGACACCCAAAAACTACAAATCTGGCATAACAAGTTACTGTCTATTGTGATTTTTTTATTGTTTGTCTGTTTTTGAATTTCGCACAAAGCTACTAAGGGGCTGTTTGTGCCAGTCATCCCTAATTTATAAGTGATAGAATAAGGGGAAGGCAGCTGGTCAACAATATCCACTACCAAATCTTGGGGCTATCAATGAAAAGTGGGATTGACTGTTACATTATAACGCCCCGTGGTTGAAAGAGCAAGCATGTTTGGAGACAGGATTCGAACCCGTGACCCACAGATTGCGAGTCGAGCACTTTAATCAGGTCCAAGTTTAATTATGGAAGATATGTACATCATTCAGTGATGTTCTGTAACCGTCATCTTTATGGCATGTGTATTAGTGTGAAGCGAAAAATGTTTTTGCCTCATATCAAATTCTCCATGGGTATAATAATTGTATATGTGTATTTATAATAAATGTGTAAAATATCATTCAGTTTGTATTTGTTTACTGGTTTTGCAAGACGCCTGAAGTTTCTGATACTTAAGCCTAGAAAATAACGTTCTGACATTCAACAGGTCTTGCATAGTTACTAGTAAAATTGCGTTAGTTGTTTGCATTCTTCATGTCTAGGAAGTAATGTCCTCACATGCAATACGTTTTTCATGGGTAGCTAGCTATAAAGATGTACCAATTGGCAACCTTCCTTGAGCTAGTAGCTACTGTGTGGATGTAGTGCACTTTGTGAATCAATGCTTAGTTGTGAGTAAGACGTGATTTGAATAGGGATGTCACCCTGCTGTAGTGCTATACTTATTTTCCCTTTCCTTCATTACAGCGTTCATCACGAGTGTAACAAGGCGAGTTAAAAATAAACAACTGCCACCGTTTTCACACATGTATCAGAATTTTATGCACGACCATTAAAAATCATTGTTCTACCAACGATTGCAGATCTTATTTCACACTATCAGCATATAAGACTAAAATTGAAGCCATTACCATCAGATGCTGAGCCAAAGGTTGCTGAAATTGCTGAGAAAGTTGCTTCCGATCTAGAAGACCTATGGAAAAAAGCTTCAATTCCAATAATATCTCACAATAGCTTGATAAGGAAAATACTAAGTTGTTATGACAAATATCAGGCTTTGATGAGAGCTGGAACACCTACCTTTGATTCTAAATGGAAGAATTTTCTCAAGGAAACAATGAAATTGTTTGTTATAGCTGCTTGCCAATGCATTTCAAAATTTTGCAAATGTGATGTAACTCATTGAGTTGCTTGCTATTTCAGGAATTATTTTTGAAAAACCAGCAAACACAAAGAAAAATGGGCATTGGAGGAGTAGATGTAATACTAACTAAAAAACTGCGAAAGTCGTTAGTTAATTTTCCGTAAATTCTTTCCGACTAAACTTTAGCGACACAAGTCCTTTCTTAAATAAAACTGG